GCATTTGCCATTCAACACCCACTAAAACAAAAACACACAAAGCTGTAAATACCCAAGTCCGATGATCTTGCAGGTCTTTTCCAACCATTATGATTCCAAGTGCAAACCTCCCAGAAACGTGAAAACCAGCCCGGTGAGTGACTTGCACGTCCCCTGACGCCCGTTTCACCTCCCTCGGCTCTTCCCTTGGCCGACTGCAGCAGCAGATGGTTTTTCAGCCCGGAGTCACTAGGGAAACAGCCGGAGCTGCCCCATTGCTATGGAGACGGGGAGCCTCCTCTCGCTATGTGCAGCTCCCTGTGGCCGGAGAGGGGCTTCAAACAGGGATGTAGGGGGGTTAAACAGGGATGTGGGAGGTTAAAACAGGGATGTAGGGGGTTAAACAGGGACGTCCCCCTGGCCCTGATGGCCAGAGGAAGCCTCGCTCGTGTGGGACTGGCCGCTGGCTCTCACCCTGCCGCCCTGTCTCTGGTTTTGGCAAAAACATTTTGAGTTAGGAGTTAAGATGAGGAAAGAAAAATAATAAAAAGGTATGGGAAATGTTTAATACTTGGGACTGGTTGTTGTCAGGGCAGTGGTTATTTGCCCACAGCTCTTGCTGTCCTGGTGTATTCCCCTTCCCAACCACCCTGCAGGATTTAGTGTTGGGGGGAAATTTAAGACGGAGAATCTGGCTCTGCCCAATTCCCTGCTGCAGACGAGCTGCTTTGGCACGACGTGTCAATGTCAGCCTATGGCCAAGCCACTTTTTTTTTTTTTTTTTTTTTTTTTTTTTTTTTTTTTTTTTTTTAAACAAAAACTGGAATTTTGGAACCTGTTCTGGAACCCCACAGGCAGCTTTCCGATTGACCACAGCTGCTCGGGCACCTGTGCTCTGCACTGGCTTTGTGCTCCCCCGGAGAAGTACTTTAACGTTGAATATAATACAGCTTTATGTACAATTTCTGGTGCAAGTAAATTGCTACAAAATGACTTTTAGTAATGCTTTGATAACTGTAGAAACTGGAAATAAAAAATGCATTAAATAATTTTATATTATTTCAATTGCATTAAATTTAGTTTTTATATTATTTCACTTGTATTAAATTTAGTTTTTATCTTATTTTAATTTAATTAATTAATTTGGCTTAAAGTGTCACCCACTACCCCTTCAGTGCTTTTTTAGCAACCGAATTTAAGGACAGGGCCGTGTGTGATGCTTTGGGTCAGTTCCTTTGAATTACTGCCATCCTAAAAGGTACATAAAGACCCGCTTTGAGGATGGACAACAAATGTGTGTGTTTCAAGAGGGTCTTTGTAATTCCTGGGAAGCCTCAGTTCATAGGGAATACTGGGAATACTGGGAAGCCTCGGTTCATAGGGAATAAACTTTACAGGAAAGTACTTGCATATGGACAGCAGCTTTTACTAGAACATGCGGGAGAAGGTTGTCTGAGCAGGGTTTTTGTCCGTGACGATTCTGGAAAGAGTAAGTTACAGAGAGAAATTAAGACAACTGAAAAGTGCTYGCTATATTTATATATATGTGTGTTAGTATGGGATAGTATTTAAATATTTAGCTAGGTTCTGGACAAAATATATGAAGAGGCGATATTAATTAAACTACCCTTACAGTATAATAAAAAAACGGATTAACCCTTGAGCTCTGCAGTGGTGTCAGTAATGTTTGTAAATGAAAAATAAATCCCTCAGTAAAATAACATGCAAAATATTGATTATTTAGTTCATTATTGCRAAATGTTTGATACTTGAGGGTCTTTTCTTCATGTATTTGAGGTGTGTCACATTGAAGGAAAAGYATTCAAATCTCTTATGTGTGGCCTCAGAGTAGATAATTTGTTTTAAAAAAGATTGTGCATAGAGTAAATGTAGATTTTTAAACATTAGCTATAATTTTAATTTTGWGGAACAAATACATAATTTTCATTTTGAAAGTTTTTACCCTGGATGAATTCAATTATCTAATATTTTAGGACAGTATTTTTTAAAAATCTTAAATCCAGTGTTAGTAGAAATATCACATTAACTTCTTTGCTGGGAATTTTTGCCTCATGAATACATTCAGAAACCAAATACTGTTCTTGGGTAAGCAGAAATTCCAAACCTCTGCATTTAAAATATTATCTTAAGCAGSAAACAGGAATGAGCACTGTAAAATCCTGTTCCTTCCAAATGTTGGTTAAAATGTAGCTCTCAAGTGTGACAGATAGTGTATAAATCTAAATGGATAAGGTGGCGGGATGAACTGTCAGGGGAATTGCGTGCTAAACATTTAATGCGGTGTCTTGGTTAAATAACCATGGAATATCTGGGGATATAAAGCTATTAGGATGCAGAATTATTTCCTCATCGTTTTACAGAATGGTGATGCTGCTCATACTTTTTTTTGCTTTAAAATGCCAATTTTAAAGATAGATAACGATAATCAGTTGCATATAATTTGGTCAYATAATTAACTGTACTGCTTTTTAATAAAACTGAGATTACCTAGTGAGTAATGGGGCAAGATTATGATAATATTTGGCATTGTGGCTACCGTRTGAAGGATGCCTTCTAGCTCGAGCAATTGGATCCCTCCTGTGTGTGGATGAGAAGCAGCAGATAATTCTTAGATAAGCAGAATTTCTCTTTTTTTCTTTTTCTCATGGGAATTTCTCAATCTCCCATGAGATGCACATTGGATGTTAAGGATCTTGAACATGGTCATCAGGAGCCGTAAGCCCTGACCATGAAGCACTGAGTGTGTAGGAGCTCCCAGGACACTACAGGTGTGTAGGGCACATAGAATCTGCCTAGTTGGGTTACAAAGTGACTTTTATAGTGATTTTTGTCCCAATTTAGTGACCACCCTGCCCAAGTGCATGTCTTGTGGGTGCCTYATGGTTTCCATTGCCTTGGTCCTGTGGGTTACGCACCTAGTGTAACGTGGTTGTTAGTGTGACGGCACCTCTAGCAATGTGTTTGAGATGTAGATATTACRCTTTGGCAGCAAAAATCAATTTATGAGGGTCATCTTTTTAAAAAAGCAATATATTGCATGCTTCCATGAATAGACATCCATGGCTTGCTATCAGATGGCTTAGTGATGAGCGCTCTTGGCTTATTTGCTTATTTTAGTAGGTTTGGCAGAAAAATCAATATTAGAGAGTAACTCAAAAATAGGCAACACATATAGTACTTCACCTAGAAGAAAAGAAGGTAACAGTTCTCCAGTTGTTCCTGTTTTCTCTTCATCCTGTGCCAGCCAACTCAAGTGTAAAGTCCTTAGTCATGCAACCAGTGTTATATTTATCCGCCTTTTAGGTTTATTCCTGAAATCCATGGTGGTTTCTATTAAAGCAACACATTTCTAAAAACCCACGCCATTAAATAGAGAACCTAGAAAAAAACACCCGACAGCTGCTTCATTCTCCCAGCGGACAAAAATACAGAGATTTTAACATCTYGATGGGGTGATGGGAGAGGAGAGGACGTGTGTGAGTGTGTATATRCTTACATACACATGTATAGAAGTCTACGTGAACTGTCAGGCTACAGAACAATCCCTTTGGGCTGATTTTACATCCTGATACCTGTCAGTTTAAGAGACGTTGCTCGATGTTTTGCCAAATTCAGCCTGTTCTCCTGCGTTATGGGAGCTCTGAGAAAACTTTGCTGGCTTGATGCTTGCTCAGGTTTCTAGTAGGTCTGACCGACCTGAGGCTCTGTGATGTCTCAAGCACTTGAAATCATAAAATCCCAATGTCTGTGTAGCCCGCGCCGCATCACCAGGGACAAGATTCCCRTCATCTTGCAATGAGCACGTGTCCGAGATGCTCGGTGTTAGGACATGCAGCTGTGTCTGTGTAGGGACACGTGAGCATGGTGCTTGAATGTACTTTTTCACCAGGAGACACTTTGTTTTTATTCAGTAATTACAATTTAATACTTTATCCTGTATTGTGAGGAAGTTTAGAGGGGAGATGGGGTAGAAAAGGAGAAAAGAAGTTAGCAAAACTSCCTGTTACCAGGTGTTGCCCAGGTGCAACTCGTCACCCAGGTGCAAGGTGTTTGCCGTCCATATGCAGAGTATCTTACACGCTGAGCTTGTGCACCCTGAGGAAGCTCCCTATGGCAGCAGCCAGAGGCTCCCGCGCTGTGGGTGTTCCGGGCACCCAGCACCCCTGTTCCTGCCCGGGATGCACCAGGGTGGCTGCTGTGCCAAGGGGGCCTGAGGGAGCCAGCAGCCCCCAGCTGTGCTGCCCCTCAAAAGGCAGGCATGTRTTCCTGCGTTATGGATATATTCCTTTACACATAAGATATAAAGGGTCTCCTGTTGAAATTCAGCAATTGCATTTTCTAAATGACAACTCTTTTAGCTTGAGTTTCCTCAGCAAGGTAGAGGTTCAGCCTCGGCAGGGATAAACGCGCCGGCGGGCGCGACGGAGCGGGAGGCGCGCAGTGCCGGGCACGGAGCGCCGGGAGCAGCCGCCGGAGCCGCCCGGCGGGGAGCGCGGCCAGATGGGGCCGCGCACAATGCGGAGCCGCGCCGCCCTGCCACAGACATGTGCTGCTTGGAATAATAAAAAGACCATAAAATTAGATTAGTCGAGTCTAATTTGGCATCGGCGTATTCCCTGCGCGCCCGCGCAGCTCTGGGGCGGATAAAGCCCGGAGATTTAGTGCTGCCAGGACGGAGGACTCCGACTTCCCGTAAAAAGGGAGGGGGGAAGAGAAGGCAGCGTGGGAGGTCGCCGAGGGCAGCACGGTGCCCTCCGGTGATTTACAGGCCTTTAGCTTAATGAAATTGTTGCAGTGACATGACGGTAAAAGCTCATAATGGATTGGATGCCCTAATGTAATGAAATTACTCCCTTCTGCCTTAAAAAAAAAAAAAAAAAAGAAAAGAAAAAAAAAAGAGGCACAATTAATATTTCCTGAGACCTGGCGGGCTCCAGTGCGCGGCGCGGGCCGGCGGCGGCAGCGGCGCCCGCCCTCACGCTCTCCCTTGCTCCCCGCAGGCAGCTGGACAACAACCAGATCAGCTGCGTGGAGGACGGCGCCTTCCGAGCCCTGCGCGACCTGGAGATCCTGTGAGTGCGGCCGGGCCGGGAGGGAGGACAGAGGGATGGACRGGGGGACGCCCGGGGCCGCGGCCCCTTCGCGGCTGTGTCGTGTGGGGCCTCGGACGCGGCGCGGAGGGCGGCTGCGCTCTCCGCCTGGCACCAACTTCCCGGAGCGGCGGCCCCGGGAGAGGGGAAGGGCGCCGGGCAGCCCAGGCTGCCTCCCGCAGCACAACGAGAGTTAAGTTCAYGCGGCACCGCAGGGTCCCGGCGGGTCGGGTTGGTTCCTGCGGTCGCTGCCGCGTGCGAGGTGGGTCTGGACCCCACAGCCAGCTCCAGGGCTCCCTGCAGCCTCCACGCTGCTGCCGTGACCCCGTGAGCATCAGTGTCTCCTTGCGTGTGACTGAGCCAAAGTGGGGCGCAGTGGGGAGAGCCCTCCTTGCCGGAGCCAGGCCGGTGTCCCCAGCCTGAGGCAGTGGGGCCTGGCCCCATCCCGCTCCCGTAGGGACTCCCAAGGGCTGCTCCAGGCGCTCCCGGCTGGGCACTGGCTGCTGCACTCATGCGAGACACCCAGWGGAACTCGCCGGGGGATCCATCACATCAAGGGCACTGTCTGCATCCAGCATTAACAGTGACTTGTAGCAAAAGTGCATTATCTCTATAAAGTGTTACTTATTTATCAGGCTGAGCAACACAGAGGCAAAAGGAAAGAACTGGCAGCTCACGGTCTCCTCCAAAACTGGCCCTTTTTTCTTCTGCTGGGCTCTCTTCCTGTGTCTGCAGGGTGGGCTCAGTCCTCCACGGATACTAGACTGTGCTGTGAGTTTCCCTGCGAGAGCCTGGAGTGCCCGGGGGCCTTTGCTGTAGTGCAGTGAGCTCTGTAGGCTCCAAAAAGTTGCTGGAAAAGGATGCACTTCTTGGACGTRATAAATATTGGATTAGGTGATTTGTTCCTCTGCTTGTAGTTCCTTAGTTCTGTAGCAATTTTTTGTGGGTGGGAGAGAGAGAAGATTTTGTCTTTCTGTATAAAATACATCATAATCAGACCTTTTATGCATTTTTAATTTGCAGCGCAGACATGCTGCTGGGGAAAAAATCCATCTTAATTCCAAGAGATGAGGAAATAGATTGATAATTCCTATATCTAAAGGTATTCTTCTTGCAGTTACAAAATTGGAGGCGTATACTGCTAACCTAATTCAGGCTTATTTCTAAGCTTGTCTTCAAAGAAAGTTTGAGCATTTAAATCTCTCTCAAGCAAAATAAATTTGTTTAATGCCCCAGAGGCTATAATAYCTGCAGTTGTACAACAGTAGTAATCATTAAAAAATAAAAGCGTTTTGAACCATCAAAGAGCGTTAACAAGTGAAACCAAAGGACATCCAGATAACACTTCAGAGCACAACTTGCTATGTATAATTTATGCAGATATATTTTAACTTATAATGTAACATGTAGCAAATAGCTAATGATTTGGGCTAAAACCTCTTATCTGCACTATCTATTTGAGCAGTTTGGAAGGATACCAGAAGGTGTCTGCTGTCTGACTGATGGGAATCTTGTGACCTTTCCTACACTAAACATGCACATTTCTACTTCTCTTCACTCCTGTGTCTTTACACCCCAAATTTTGTAGGTTACTTGAGGCAGAGACAAAATATGTAGTAATACCCAGAAAAAAAACTATTTAATGTGAATTACTAAATGTTAGAGCCCTTTTTCTTTCTGTTTTGTGCTTCCCGTTGGACTTGCCCTCCGCAGGAGCGCATAAGGAGCATGGTGTGGGGACACGAGAGAGCCCTGCAGTCATCCTGCTGCATCATCTGTCTTATTTCTAATTGTCAAGCCCACAGTTTCAGTTGACTACTTGGATTTTCTTTTTTTTCAGTGCTCCCAATAAGGTCTTACACCTTGACAGCACACAGTCAAGAGCCAGGAATGAAAGCAAGACTGAAATTTGTAATAAATTACAGTGTTCTCAGCATGTTTTAGCATGGTTTTGCACTACCAGGGTTTTCCTTGGGGTAGTGCAAGGAGCTGCTGCCTCCAGCTGGAGCTTGGATCAGCCCTAGGGCCTGACAGGGGCAGACGCAGTCGTTGCATTCTTCGTTTGTGAATGAACTTCTCCATTTATGAATTTCAGTGTTTCAGATGTGCCCAGCACTGCCAGTGACTGCAGGGTTTGGATGAGCCAACCTGGGAAAACGGTGAGGACCGGGTGCTCTGGTGCCTTCTGCTCATGCTGTCTGCCTGAGAACAGCATGCAGAACAGGCATGATTCCCCCCAAAGAGCATTTGTTTGTAGATTTGAACTGGAGACTGTTCTATTTTGCATCAAGTTGTCTTTACAGTTTCCCATAAATGTTTTAATCTGTTGATAAGGTAAGGCTTTCTATTGAGGACACACTTCCTTTTCCCCTTCTTATAGGGAAACATATTTCCTTAGGCTCGGTGTCGCCTTTCAGGGCTCGGCAAGGTGTGTTCAACCCCTCCAAATGCAATATAATGCAGAAGAGGCATGCGTTTGGGACAGCTRACAAAAGTTATTCAATAAATTATGACCTGTCAGAGGAGAAATCCGCCCAAAACTTAAAGAAAATTGATGGAGACCTTCTATGGGCTGAAATGTCATTTTTGAAAGGGAAAGGTCTTTTGCTCTGCCTTGTTTAATTTTTACTTAGGGCCTGTGGCAATAACAGTATTACTGAGAAATCTTTATGAGTATAGCTGTAAGCAAGGTAAGATTGTTGAAACAAAACCAAAATCAGAATAATGGTGCAGTGCTGCTTGTGCGGGTCCTTCGCTGGTTAGAAGCTCATTAGCCCGTAGCCTGATGTCCAATATCCAAAGCCGTATAGTTCAATATCCAAAGTGATGATGCCCTGGAGTTGGAGGCCCAAATTTTACTGTCCATCTCATCAGACATTTGAGTAAAAGGAATTAATTCCAAAGTGACTAAAACTGGATTAACTGTTAATACCGAGCTGATGATCCTGCTCATGCCCTTAGTCTGGAGGTGCCAGAAAATTTCTAGGATACATTTCCCAAGAAGACACAAAATTCAATTTAGCAGCAATCCCTTTTAATTTACTTATTATTGTTTTATCTCACTGAAGCGGCCTGCAAACAGTGTAGTGACACGGCAGCGATGCCACATGAAGAGGAAGTGGTAGGAGCCACCGTTGACACCTTTTCTGCCCTGTCTCCCTCATTTTATCTTGTAAAAGCTGCTTTTCCTCCCACTTTATAGTGCTAACTGGAAGGATCAGAGCTTGAACACTTGGTGTTTGTTGCAGATTTTCTGCAAAAACACTTAGCACCCGAAAGATGTTTATCTTAGCAAGAGATTATCCTAAAAGGACCGTTGTAAGTATTGTACTATGAAAGGAAATAGAGAAAAAAAAAGGCAAGTGAATTCTTTATGTGCAGAGCTAGCAGTGAATGGCTTGGGTTAGAGTTTATTGGTAATCGGGTTAATTGATGGAGGTCTTGGCTTGCATTCACGTAGTATCTCCTGTCACAGCCTTCTAAGCTTTCAAATCGGGGACAAAGCCTGCAAATCCTCTTAGTTTTGCTGCCTTTTGAAAGGGGGGACTGAGGGCTGCCCGTGTCGTGGGGAGCTGCCAGCGGCAAGCGGAGCACTCGGCACCTCAGGCCGAAGCAGCACGGGCACAACGAGCCCCGCATCCACAACTGCTGCAGGGCTTGACTYAAATTCCCTTAAATGAACCCTAAACATCCATCGGTGGGAAGCGTTTTGCAAGGGGATTATGATTATTCCAGGCTTCATTTTTCACTCCCGTACTTTTCTGATGTTCACGTTTCATTAAAATGTACTAAGCTGGGCAGTTTCTGATGGACACATCGTGAATGAATGTGCTTATAATGTCCCGTGTTTTTTTTCTTAGCAAACTTTTAAGAAATTTTATGAAAATGAATTGATATTTTGTGTTGCAGCCACGATTTAATTTTTCTGCTGGTTGTTTCCTGTATGGTGAATACTCCCTTATAGAGCCAATTTTGCTTATTTGCAAAATGCTATGCTGGGCATGTCTTAACTAGATGGAAAGATTTTTATTTGCTTTTCCAACYTGGAGAGGCAGGGAGCTAAAGTCATGACATAATTCTAGATATATGACATGTCATTGCTTAATGAGAGCTTGAAAATGCCACAGAAATGTGATTGCCTTCTCTATTTTACTGGAAATTATGATTGGTTGAGGCAATCGGGATTAAATTTGAACTCTAAGTTGCATTCCTAACCAACGCCAAGATACCTAAATACAATAAAGAAAATTAGGTTTTTATTAAAAATGCTGTGCATAGCTGTTTTACTTATTCATAAATGCATTCAGTAAAATTAGAATGGTTAGTGTTGGGTTGTTTTTTCAGCCAAGGGTGTGTGTTAGCCCAAATAGATGTAAATGAATGGAGTGCATTAAAAATCTGTACTTCTTTCAGTCTGTATGTGCACAATATGTGTTACAAAAGCAAAAAGAAAGTAAATCACCCCTGGCGGGGCATGAGTAACTGAGTGTTTATCTGCTGGGTGGAATTCCCGAAACGAAGAGTTTGGCTTTTCCAAGAGCATCCTTGGAGCTTGTGGCTTGGGCAGTCAAACRTACCAGAGGGAGAATAAAGAAAAGAATTAAAGATTAAGGATTAAGAATTATTCTGAAGGCTTGTCAACCAAGATGTGGTATTACCAGAGGAGAGAGGTGGAAAAGTGATCATTTCTATGTTTCTCCGGGTGGAGGTGTCCAGGCAGAACCCTACACYGCTCTCCTAGTTTCTCCTTAAGCGAAAGGGCTCCTGAAAACCCTGGCTGCTCCTGTARGGAAAGATTCCTTTCTATAAATCAAGTGGTGAACTACAGAAATGCCCTTTTCTGGAGAGCTCTTAGGAAGCTACTGCACCCCGTGGACCCAGATGCAATGAGATACATAATTAGCGCGAGGAGTAGATGGAGAAAAATGGGCTGTACAAGAGGGCCTGGTTTTGTTTGCTGCCGGGTGTCAGCAGGAGATGGA